GTCAGCAACAAATACCCCGTTATCGACCACGAGTACGATGCCATTGTCGTCGGTGCCGGTGGTGCTGGCCTCCGTGCCGCCTTCGGTCTGGCTGAGGCTGGCTTCAATACTGCTTGTATCTCCAAGCTTTTCCCCACCAGATCTCACACCGTCGCTGCTCAGGGTGGTATCAACGCCGCTTTGGGCAACATGCACGAGGACGACTGGAGGTGGCATATGTACGACACCGTCAAGGGTTCAGATTGGCTCGGTGATCAGGATGCTATTCACTACATGACCCGTGAGGCTCCTGCCTCCATTGTCGAGCTTGAGAACTACGGCTGCCCCTTCTCCAGAACCGAGGACGGCAAGATGTGAGTGCCATTCCACGACCTAGTTGTGAGATCCTTCTTGCTAACAGCCTCTCGCAACAGCTACCAGCGTGCTTTCGGTGGTCAGTCTCAGAAGTTCGGAAAGGGTGGACAGGCCTACCGCTGCTGCGCCGCCGAGGACCGTACCGGACACGCCCTTCTGCACACTCTCTACGGCCAGTCTCTCCGCCACAACACCAACTACTTCATCGAGTACTTCGCCCTCGACCTGATCATGCAGGACGGCGAGTGCCGCGGTGTCCTCGCCTACAACCAGGAGGACGGCACCCTGCACCGTTTCCTCGCGAACCACACCGTCCTGGCTACCGGTGGTTACGGACGTGCCTACTTCTCCTGCACCTCCGCCCACACCTGCACTGGTGACGGTATGGCCATGGTTGCCCGTGCCGGTCTGCCCAACCAGGATCTCGAGTTCGTCCAGTTCCACCCTACCGGTATCTACGGCGCTGGCTGCTTGATCACTGAGGGTGCTCGTGGTGAGGGTGGTTACCTCCTCAACTCCGAGGGTGAGCGTTTCATGGAGCGTTACGCCCCCACCGCCAAGGATCTTGCCTCTCGTGACGTCGTTTCCCGTTCCATGACCATGGAGATTCGCGATGGCCGTGGTGTTGGCGAGGACAAGGACCACATCTTCCTGCAGCTCAGCCACTTGCCCGCCGAGGTTCTCCACGAGCGTCTGCCCGGTATCTCTGAGACCGCCGGTATCTTCGCCGGTGTCGACGTTCGCACCCAGCCCATTCCCGTCTTGCCCACCGTCCACTACAACATGGGCGGTATCCCCACGAAGTACACCGGTGAGGTTATCACCGTTGACGAGAACGGCAAGGACAAGGTCGTCCCCGGTCTGTTCGCCTGCGGTGAGGCCGCCTGTGTCTCTGTCCACGGTGCTAACCGTCTCGGTGCCAACTCCCTGCTCGACCTTGTCGTCTTCGGTCGTGCCGTCTCCCACACCATCCGCGACAAGTTCTCTCCCGGCACTAAGCACAAGCCCCTTGCGGCTGATGCTGGCGCGGAGCACATTGAGGTTCTTGACAAGGTTCGCACGTCCGAGGGCCCCAGGACCACCGCCGATGTTCGTCTTTCTATGCAGAAGGCTATGCAGACTGAGGTTTCCGTTTTCAGAACACAGGAGTCCCTGGATGAGGGTGTTCGCAAGATGGTTGAGATTGACGCTCAGTTCCCCGAGGTCGGCATCAAGGACCGCAGCATGATCTGGAACTCCGATCTTGTTGAGACCCTTGAGCTCCGCAACCTGCTGACTTGCGCGTAAGTAACATCTTTGGTTAAATTGGTCACACTTGACGCTAATAACTTGACAGCATTCAAACCGCCACTTCTGCCGCCGCTCGCAAGGAGTCTCGCGGGGCCCATGCGCGCGAGGATTTCCCCGAGCGTGACGACAAGGAATGGATGAAGCACACCCTCTCTTTCCAGAAGCAGCCCCATGGCAAGGTCGACCTGAGCTACCGTGGCGTTATCGCCAACACCCTTGACGAGAACGAGTGCAAGGCCGTCCCTCCTTTCAAGCGTGTGTACTAAACCATCAATGTTACGATAGAACAGGTGTAGGGTGTTTTGGGAGGCGCGCAACGGGAATGTCGGAACAGCAGAGGATGAAGAGAAAGAAGACTAAGGAGAGGAGGCGAATCATAATACCACGATAATTTTCAGTTAATGATCGTGGGAGAAGCCGCGTGGGGGATAAGTTACCTACCCTTTTTGGAATATGCTGTATGGGCTAGGTACATGCACCGCAGGCTTTCGGGCTTTGGCTCTGGAGTTAAAAACGTGTAAAGTAGGAGGAGAAATTCATTTTGTTCAAAGAGAAACCTGAATCAGTTCAAACTTGACTGTCCCTTGCCATTGGGTATATGACGACTTGGATATTTATCTCCTGCTCCTTATGACTGACGGTGTCCATGGTGTTCATAGGGCAAAACAACTTCGTCACACTCTGTTCTTGTTGAACGACCACCCTGGCATAGCTGGCCGTTCTTATCACACTGCGTCGAGGTTTTTGGCTCAGCCAAGAATGTGCCAACCTAATTGATTCAACCGTTCCTTACTTTGTTCAAACAGGCACACCATGCGCCATCACGGTCACATGCACCAAGTGAGCATTTAGGCAAGACATTGCGCGGATCGAGACGGCAGTTCACAGCAGCAACATTTCATTGCGAGCTACTAGCAAGAAAGATACACATTTTCCTTCCTTGTATTTTTTGTTCCATAACATTTTCCTCTCGGCCATTTTCAAGGGGTGGGATCGGCAGTGAAGTACGGGAGAGAGTAGGTCTGATCAGGCTCGCTGGTGAAGTAGGGCAGAGAATACGTCTGGTCGGGCGCGGACGTGGACTTCGAGCAGGGAGGCGCGGTGTAGGACGGCCAGGGGCGGCAGTCGGAGTGGCATCTTTTGGAAAAAATGTTAGCCGTCTACAGCATTCTCTTGTGGAATGGATCGACAATCAGGAGAGAGGGAGAGACTTACCCGCCATACCACTGACCACACTCGTTGACGTAGTCTATGCAAACAGTGCGCTTGCTGCATGAGTCCGTGATGATGGTCGGCGGCTTGACCGGGGTGACCGAGATGCTGGGAGGCGCGGTAGGGCGAGGCGAGGGCTTGCCGGGGATCTTGGTGATGGACTTTGTCGGCTTCGTGGGCTTCGGGCAGGGAGGCATCGTGGGCGCCGTGTCCGGCTTGCAGGCATCGTAGCAGCTATCATTCGGCATCAGCAAAGGATCGTTGGCAGCAGCGGTAGGGAAAGATGGCTTACCCTCCCCAGCGCACGGTGGGACAGGCCGGGTTGATTCCATCGATGCAGATGTTCTGGGGGCAGCCGGCCTTGCCCGGCTGGATCTGAGGGGCCGCAGCGACGAAGCCAGCGACGCTCAGAGCGGCTGCGAGAAGTTGAGTCGAGTGCATCTTGACTTGGTGTAATTCGTAGAAGAGTTCTTGAATCTGCAGGTGTTGGTTTGTATATGTGAAGAGCGTATTGTGGTTTTTTGCTGGATTACACAAAAACTTTCCATCGGTCAGGCCGGACAACCGGGTTCCTATATAGCCTCACGGCCTGCGCAGATAGGTCGCACGTACACCCGTGCCGGCTTGCTCAACAGCCGACTGGGATAGTTTCCAAGACGGGAAGACGGAGGCTAGCGGGAGCGTGTTTGTGACTGTCTCGGCCGCAGGGGAGGAGTGAGCCGCCATTGCCCTGCCCCGCGAGATATGCGCCCTGGTTGCCAGTACACAAGGCACATCGCCAGATGAGTTTGCTTCCATGCCCGCCAAGCACAGTCTACCTTGCTTCGGTGTAGGTGCCAAGAGACGCGGAAGCATGCCAAACGTGAGAATAGCTTACACAAGGCCACGATGTAGGGGAGAAAGGGAGCGCATGCGGATGGTGGTTGAAAGTAGCGTGCGCCGCATGTGCAGGTGGACAGAGCGGTGGATGGTGTCGACGATCAGCGATTGGTGATGAGGTCAAGGTCTCAGTTCTCGGCTGTTTTCGAGCAGTCTGGTCTCAGACTGCCCTACCAGAAGGGGTATTCAGGGCTGTTGCAAAAGGCAAGGGGGAAATCGAGTGGGCACCGCGGGGAGTTACACTAGCACAGCTCCTTTGTTCGTGATACCCAGGTGTGGACTCGAGCGATGTCCAACTGATGTAAGGATACCATCAACGGTCTTCAGCTCATTCCAGGTTGTAAAATTCTTGACGAGAACCCATTATTGAAAAGCGATGGACAAAACTCCGCCCGGGTTGGCCTGAAAGTGGCTCTCCAAATGTAAGCCCGGGCTGAGAGGCTTTCGTGATGTTGCCCAGCACCATGCAACATGCCCGTATGTGGCTGGTCCATCGCCTATACGGGGGAGTCAAGATAACCGTATCCAGAAGCTTTCCGCTCCCGCCAAGGCGCTTGTTTCGAGGGAGCGGCGACCTGGACCCCTGCCGGCGAACGGTACGGGCGGACTGATATGGGGATCATCTTCGAAATCGACGTCGAGGTTGGATTCGGTTGAGAGACTCGAGCGGTTCTTCGGCCCGTCTGAACAGTTCTTCCACGAGTTGCGAACAGGTCTAGGAATGCAAATTCTGACACTAAGTTGCGTATGTTCCATCGACTGCGGAAAGCCGTTCACTGGTAGTAGGCTATCACGAATCCTTGGGACTGTGTGATATGGACTCGGGAAGCGTGGAGCTAGCCATGGAAGCCAACTCAAGATCGCACAACTGCTCCCACCGGCTGGGAGGAATGCCACCGAAAGCTTGGAAGGGTTCGTATCTGCGACAGGACTCGGGCGTTTGGTCGCTGACAGTTGAATGACATCAGCCCAATGACATTCAGCAGGGCATTTGTGGACGAGTGGACGCACGAGGGGGGAAGAAATGAAGGGATGTCTCGTTGTACGAGCGACGTTCTTTCGGGACCCCTGGTGCAGCCGAGGGGGATTGCAGCCGAGAGGGAAAGGCAAAGGTCCGCAACGTGCAAGGGGCTATGAATAGCATCCGATCATCAACTGCCTGACTTGCTTCCTCTCCTCCCGATTGGGGCATTCATATCCAAGACATGGAAGAACCTTACCTTACCTACAAACCCTCTTGCTACGGCTGTCTCTCCTTCCCGCTGTCAGCTAAGCCAAGATTGTGACTGTGGCATTTGCGGGGGATCATCGACATGGAAGGCGCATACCTCGGTGATATTTGAGACATGCGGCGCCGGGAAAACCTTGGTCAGCTCGAGTGGTCATCGTCACCTTGAATTGGTCCGTCTTACCTTACTCTCTTCTTTTGCTTCCCTTTTGCTTCTTCCGCACTCCGAGCCGAATGTATGCGACTGCCTCGGAGACATTACTTTGCCCTCCAAGCGCCCGCAACATTCCTCGAACGTGCCTATTCGGACGTCAGCTCAAGGCTGGGCAAGACATACGAGCGAGGCGCCCTATCCTTTCCCGTCAACGTTCGCAACGAACGTGGAAGGCCCCGTCGATCATTGACAGATCCTGCCACGAGTCGCGAGCTCGTCGATCCGGCGCGAGCCGACCTGTTGACTCTCAAACCGTCCCTACCTGATCGAGACTACTATCATCAACTGGCCGGTGATCATCGATCGAGCGAAGATGGCTGATCATCAGGAACTCCTATTTTTAGAAGAAGAGAAAACTTCGTTGCAACCGCCCAGATAAAAATAAAAGGATCAGCATGGAGAGATGAAAGAACCTCATCGGGATAGATCCAGCCAGAGACAGCAACCCTCGCTTGGAAGATATCACGATGCCGGAACTGGGAAGTATCTCGCGCAGCACCATCATAGATGCAAATCACCCATCGCAGTGGAACCCTTGACGTGCCCGGAGGAATCCAAGCCAGCCTTGGCGGGAGATAGCCAAGGTCAGACAGCGTCAAAATCAGGGCAATTCCTTCGACAGGTGTGGTCAACTCGTAGCTTGTTACACAAGAAGCCAACGGTTCGTTTGTATCCTATGCCCACGTCGTCAGCTGCGTCATGCTGGGCATCACAGAGAACGCCATCTCGTGTTTCAAGCGGGGGCACACGCTCCCCTGTTACTCAAGAACCGGTTGTGCTCACCGGTCCGTCGGTTACCGATCCAGGTCCTTTGCATAGTCCGTTGAACCAGTACACTGGCCATAAATCTGGCGCGGGAGCGAATCATTTCATCAAAGTGACTACTCAAGTTTGTATTTTTAATTTTACTCCTAAACGACGCCGGTGCTGGTATCAATCAATGCTGTTCATAAAGTAGGCACCACGTAAGGTATGCAAAAGAGAACAGACCCCTACAGCTTATTTCTTCTCCTCAAGGTATGCCTTCCACCCCACACTCTGCAGCTTGGCTGCCTTTTGCTCCACCTCGGTAGACATGTTGCTCATGTACTGAGCCATCTTCTGCTGGTACTCGAGGCTGGAAGAGCCAAGGATCTTGACAGCCAGCAGCGCGGCGTTTGTTGAGTTGTTGATGCCAACGGTGGCAACAGGGCAACCGCGGGGCATCTGCACGATGCTGAGCAAACTGTCGTGACCGTCCAGGTGGGTGGCCTTGACGGGAACGCCGATGACTGGCACCGTAGTTTCAGATGCCAGCATACCGGGCAGGTGAGCAGCACCACCAGCTAGGTTTCATGTTAGCAGTGTGATCTCTGGACGTTAATAGGCAAAACATACCAGCTGCGATGAGGACCTTGATACCACGCTGGGCAGCAGTCTTGCCGAGCTCTACCATGCGGTGGGGAGTGCGGTGTGCAGAGGTAATGTCGAGGTCGTAAGGAACCTCGAATTTCTCGAGGATCTCGAAAGCCCCTTGAAGGACCTTGAGGTCGGAGTCAGAGCCCATAGTGACAACCACAAGAGGCTTGTCTGAGTTCCGCGAGCTGATCTTCTTGGCCTTGATAGGGGACTGCTGGAGACGAGGCTGCCCGGACGAGGCGTCGATGCGAGCCTCGCGCATATAGTTCACCTCGTTGATCAGGGGCGCAGCCAACTGCTCCAGGTTCACGCCATGTTCGTAGGACGTGACGGTGATGTGGCCGATCTTACGGGCCGGCTTAGAAGACTTGCCGTACAGGTGGAGGAAGATGTCCATCTTGTCGTCGTACAGGGACGTGGTGAGGTCAACAAGCTCCTCGTGAGAGTCTTCACGCGCGCCGCCCAAGATGTTCAGCATGATGGCACTAGAAACACGGGGCTGAAGCTTGATGGACCGCGGGAGCATGTCCAAGATGGAGTAGAGTTGCGCCTTGTACTGGGACATGTAGGGCACAGCCTCAATGGTGTAGTGGCCAGAGTTGTGAGGACGAGGGGCAACCTCGTTCACGGTGATGGTGCCTATCAGATGTTAATACGAAATCAAACCATGACGGCGTTGGAAACTCACCATCCTTCAGGAGGAACATCTCAACAGCAAAGACACCCCTTCCCTTCAGCGTCTTGACGACGTCGCCAGCAACCTGGCGGGCCTTCTCACAAACATCAAGAGGGACTCTGCGAGGGGGGTAATACACCTTAGTGCAAATGCTCTCCTCGTGAATCGTCTCGACAGCCGGGTAGGCGTGGACCTTCCTCAGCTCACCGTCCTCGTCCTCGGTGCGAACGACCATGACGGCAAGCTCCATGTCGAAAGGAACCCACTTCTCGGCATAAAGCGACAGCTTACCCATCGCCTGAATAGCTGCCTCGTAGTCCTGAACGCCATTGACCTTGAAGTTGCCGCGGCCATCGTAAGAACCCTTGCGAGCTTTCAGCATGAAGGGGAAGCCAAAGCTCTTGTAAGCGGCCGACAGGCTCTCCGGAATAGCGGGGCTGGACTCGATGGCCATCTGCGGCGCAATGGGAAGGCCGGCTCTGGCGAAGTGCTCCTTCTGGAGGAACTTGTCCTGGATGAGGCGCAAAGTCTGCCAGTGAGGGTGAACGGGAACCTTCTTGACAGTGCCGGGCGCAGTGATAACGCCGCGGGTCGCAATCTCCTCGAGGACCTCGGTGTTGACGTGCTCAATCTCGACAGTAATGACATCGCACATGGCCGCGAGCTCCCTGATCTTTGCGGGGTCCTTGAAGGAGCCGGTGACATGGCGGCTGTTCTGGTTTGCCATCTTCGCAGGGCAATTGGCCTCGTCGAGGATGGCGATATCGATGCCGAGAGGCCCCGCGGCCTCGCACAGCATCCGGCCAAGCTGGCCGCCTCCAAGGAGGCCGATGGTAGGCTTCTTGACCATGTTGGAAGGCGTGAGGGCGGATTTGGTGTAAGTGCGAAGGAGATTGGAACCAGAACGGATGCGATGGTTCAAGAACAAAAATGGTGGAGAGGTGGTTCCCGAGGGAAGAAACGACTCATCAATCCCGCATAAACAGGGCGGATGGAGCAAAGTTTTGAGTCGAAGTTTAGAAATTTTGACCTTTTCGGGCAGGCGGTGAAAAAACACCCCGCCGTTATCGTCGCTGTAGAGCCCCACCCCCACTATGACAAGCCTACAGGGTGAACGGCAGGACGCCACAGGGCCCCCTGCTCCACCAAAAAATGCCATTGACATGCCCGCGCTTTAGACGCTGTATTCTTCGACCTCAGCCCCCCTGCCCGTGAGACTCACTCTCATCGCCCCTCCAGATTGAGATTTTCAACAGCCACCACCACGCGTGTGTGTGGAAAGCCGGAATCATGGCGGCAGAATTATACGATGGGACGATTTCCGATAGGATACAGTAAGTGAAAATGCCAAGCTGTGCTCTCGTTTTGTGTTGTTGCCCAGCTGGCTCACCTGCATGAATCATCTAGTCCTCTCAAAATCTTCGATGCAGCCAAGAGCCAGGAAAGGTTTCTCAATGTCTCTGCGCCCATGGTGAGATACAGCAAGGTAGGAATCCCGGAACGTTGCTCTGCCGTGAGAGAAATGAAAATGATCTCACAATTTGTTAGCTTGCCTTTCGCCAAACGGTTCACGAATATGGAACCGACCTGTGCTGGACGCCCATGATCCTGTCCAAGGAGTTCAACCGCAACAACTTTGCGCGCGACAGCGGTTCGTAATTCACCATTCCCAACTGAACCGGCTCAGAAGTTGACGAGTTTCAATAAAGACCTCACAATCTCAACCCAGGGCGTCCAGCCCCCCACGATAGTCCAGTTCGGCTCAAACAGCCCCATAGAGCTCGCCCGCTCATCGTCCCTAGCCGCCCCCTATGTGAACGGCGTCGACCTCAACTGCGGCTGCCCCCAGTCCTGGGCCTGCGCCGAGACTCTCGGTGCCGCGCTCATGGAGAAGCGCGAGCTTGTCCGTGACATGGTCATCGAGACGCGACAGCGTCTGGCGAACGACGGCTGGCACGTAGGCAAGGAGCGTGATATCGACAGTCCCAAGGGGCGCAGTGTCAGCGTCAAGATCAGGGTCCACAAGGACTTGAGGAGGACGATGGACTTCATCGACACCGTCATCGGCAACCCCCACGATCGCAACATCGACTTCCTAACCATCCATCCCCGTACGCGCCACACGGCCTCCAGCACCCCTATCAACACGGAGTCGCTAGGTATCCTGCTGGAAAAGTATGGAGACACCCTCCCGATCCTTCTCTCTGGCGATGTCTTTTCCATGGCTACACTGCCGCTATCTACCGTTTCAAAGACAGTATCGGAACCAGATGGACAGATTACCAACGGCCTCACACCTTTCACTCCAAGCGGAACCAAACTCGCGGGTCTCATGTCCGCCCGTGGCATCCTCGCCAACCCGGCCATATATGCGGGTTACGAAGCCTGCCCCTGGGAGGCCGTCGAGTCCTTCATGCGTCATGTCATCCGTGCCCCTATTCCCGTGAAGCTGGTGCAGCATCATCTCCACGAGATGGTCGGCCCAGGCATGGGTCCAGACAAGAAAGCGCTGCTTGACAAGCAGGAGAGGGCTGCGCTGCAAAGACTGGATAGCATGATAGACGTGATAGACTTCATGGACGAGGCAATCAACCGCAAGACGGGTAGGGCAGACGGGCTGCGACGTGAACCCGTAGACAGTTCAAAATTATCTATACCATGACGACTTGATCGTATTCCGCAAAGATTTCATCCAGTGCATGTATTAGGAGCACTATCGAGGTATCGTGCTATCTGAAGCAGCGCTTGCGTCATGAGCTCTCAGGTTCCCACCCTCCTGAACGCCGTGCCCTCGGTGCCTTCTAGGTTCCAGACGTGAGCCAGATTGCTCGAATGCAAGGCTGCCTAAAACGGGATCCATATGATATACTAGGGTGATGCCGCACCCATGGTTAATTGCCTTTCGACCGCCAGTCCGCATGCCGTGAAGATCGATGGACCTCCCAAACGCCGGGTCCCTAAATAATTACAATATTCAAATTGATGATCCTCGTTCTGTCCCGGTATTCTAATCCAGGACTTCTCCCTCATCCTCATCGGATAGTCTCGCGCGCTTCTGGTCCCGACCCTCAGAGTCAGACTCAACTTCCTTCCTCTTGCCTGGAGATACGGCGCCGTTACCATTCGCTCTTTCCGGCTCCTTGAGAGTAGCCTGTGATCCAGATTCGGTGTTGGTGACATCGTCGCGGCCATTGATGCGAGCCCTGGGACTTTGCGTCCCCCTGTCAAGTTCGAAGGGCGTACCTGCCGTCGATGAAAGCGCGTCCTGGCTCATGGGGTCTCTCGGCTGTCTCGTGTTCTCCAGGTCGAAGGCCGGCGATGGCAGAGATGGGTTCTGCTTCCTAAGCGGGTTCTCCGTATAGAATTGTTGCATGATATCAATTGCACGAGTGCATTTCCTCTCGTTGCCCTTCAGGGCCTTCCACCACGGTTCGCCGTTGACGTCTTCAATCTTATTCTTAGTGTGCACACTAGCAAAGAATATGGCGCAGATGGCTACATCGCGAGCCTCAAGCAGGAGAGGGATCGAGGTGAGGCAGGCGTCGTTGCACCAGGCCCATGCCGACTGGCGCAAGTGCTTATTGTGGACAATGTCGAGCTGGCCCAGCAGTTCGAATAGCCGCTGGTAGGGATTGTCGACCATGAGGTCAAAAGTAAGCAGCTCCAGCATAAGTTCTTCGTATGCCAGGATGCTGTCCCTCCAGCGCCAGTATTCCTTGCTCATTTCATCAATCATGAGCTTCGGGTTCTTCTGCGCGACTTTTGCAACGGTAATGATGATTTCTTTCGTTTTACGGCAATTCTCTTCTGTCTTGTTCGCAAGGAAGAGAGCTGTAGCAGCAATGTTCTGTTCGACCGAGTCTGTTAGTTCTGGTTCGGCTTGGGCTTTCTGAGTTCCTCGCTTGGATCTGGGAAGGGACGTCTGCGTCTGACACTCGTCAGACCCGAGCTGGATCGTAACGGAAGCAAAGGGAGCAGCGGAAATATCTCACATAATGGTGAATGCCGCCCTTCTCCTCAACCATACTGTATCGCATGTAGAATCGATGGAAGAAGACGCCTGCAACCCAAAGAGTGATCTGGGGCAGATCGAGCAGGACGCCGGCTTGGTAGATGAAGTTAACACCTTTTGCGCGTCGAAGTCGTTCTTCCGCCGGGGAAATTCCATCCAAAACGCTCGGCGTGCTCAGTGCCTCGTCGTTAGTGAAGTACCACTGATTGGGTGGGGGCCCAGACGGGCTTTGCGCCCTTGAGCGCTGTGGCGATCGCGCATCTCGTTGTGAAAGCGGTCGAGGCGGTGAGGTTCGCGAAGAGTGTGTCGGAGGAGATGGAACGGCTGGCGGAACGTCCAGGCGACGCGCAGGAGATCTCGACTGCCGATCTGGCCGCGGAGGACCAGGAGGGAGAGTAGGCGGCTGATAGGCCTCTCTTGACGGCCGATAGCGATCGATGCTGGCCATCGCCGCGGTTGTGCTAAGGGGATTTTGTTTCGGCGATTGGCGTTGTGCAAAAAGATAAATTGGTCATGGGAAGGTGGCGCGCGCTGTCGCAAAGTTCGAGATGGAGTTGGATGATGTAGTACCTTGGCCTTGCAGGAGTAGTGGATTTTGGGTCCTGTTTGAGTCGCGTTATCTAATCGCGAATTTGACTTCCACGTGACCTTGGGTAGCCACTTAAGACCCTTGACTTGGCCCGTGCATTGCTGTCGCAGTGGCTCTCTTAGTCCAGTTTAAGAACCTGCGGTCACTGAAGCTCCTTGCCTTTATTTTGATGCATGGGTATCTCGTTATTCTATTGGGCCTCTATTTTCGCAACCTGCCGGGTGGCCTGTCTAGATTTCCTCGCCGTCATTGCGACCCCAGAGCTTCACCGTCCGGTCATGCCCTCCACTGACAATCCACTTTCCGTCTCTGCTCACGTCCACACTGGAAACCGGACCGGCATGTCCACTTAGAGTCTGGATGACTCCCCAGTTGTCCGCCGAGAAGATCTTGACCTTGGCATCAAATCCACCAGATACGAAAAATGTGCCGGCCTTCTTGGGCTGCTGCGCACCGCTCTCGTCAACCCCCGGTGGATGCCCATCAATCGGGTCGTCCGTTCCCTTGAACCACCTGAGATCAGACACGGCCTTTGCGTGAGCTCCCAGGTTTGCCGTTCTCTGAACCTTCCGAACGTCCCAACACTTGACCCAGCCGTCTGCCGATCCTGACAGCACTCGGTGTCCATCCGATCCCCAGTCGAGGGCGTATATCGGCTGGATGTGCTCGTCCAGAATCATGACTGTCCGTCCTGATCTCAAGTCCCAGATGCGACCAATGCTGTCCAGGCCGGCGCTGGCCAAAAGGGAGCCATCCGCGTTGAAGCTCACTGCATAAACACCTCTCGAATGGCCTTCCTGGAGCAGCAGCTCCGCGGTAGTCTCCACGTCCCAGAGTCTCCATGTCGTGTCATCTGAGGCAGATGCCACATACCTTCCAGAGGGATGGAACTCGACACGGGATACGCGAGCACTATGACCAGAGAGCGTCGACAGCGGTGTGTCTTGCTCAAGTCCCCACAAATGCACCACACCTTCGGCTCCTCCAGACGCGAGGTTGACAGTGCTGGGAGACACATTGGATTCGGGCAGCGTGGAGCCCGGATACCATGAGAGACCGCTGATCTTGTTGGTATGTCCTCGCAGGTTCATCTTCTGCTCCAGGCTGGGCACCTCGATGAGTTTCAGACCTCCTCCCCAGTTGCCCACCGCGACAATCTCTCCATTGGGTGATAACCTCGTCATGCTGACATTTCGGTCGCCAGCTGTTTGACTGCCCTGAAGCTCGAAGCCCTCCAACTTCTCCTTAATCTGTTTTCGGAACTTGACGTGCGTGCGCAAGGGGATTGTCGACTCTGCTTTTTGAAACTGGACTCGTCTTCTCGCTCTGGGGAGCGAGTATTTAACGATATCGATACGTGCTTGTAACAGTGCTGGGCCTCCCGGGGTATAGAATTCTTCGTCTTGGTCGTCCGCGTCTTCTTCTCCAGCCTCCTGCATCTCGACATCGACATCGTCCATCTCCTTTTGAATAGCAAGTAGGTTCCTCAAACGGTCTCGTCGTTCAGGCTTGCCCTCTCCGAATAGTGTTATGGGTTCGCCCAGCTCTCTGAGCCTCGCGCGCACTCGGTTGTCGTCGGTAGGCACCGCGATGCTAGCGGCCAGCTTTTTCCTCTCCATCTGCGCCAGAACGGCGGAGGCTTTCTCAGGCGCCACGCCGGACGCCGCAGAAGGGATCTCGTAGTCATGGTCGACGGGAATGTCCTCGAGCGCGATTCCTCTGTCCTCGTCCATCGCCTCCTCCACGTAGGCCTGTCGCGACGGATGCATCATCTTGGGCGGGACGGGGGCTGTCGCGGCCCCAGGAATCAGCTGCGAAAATAGGTAGAGTATCAAACAATGACAGAGATTCAAAGAACGAGAAGTTGAGCGAACGAGAAGTTGAGCGAACGAGATAACTGCCGCCAATGGCAGCCTGAAGGTGATCGTCTCTGGGTGGTGATAGGTAGCTGGTTGCCTTCCAAGATAGAGAGCTCCATGCAAAGGTTACAGTCGCGCCAGCTGCACTGGAAAATTTCGGATTAGGTAAGCTGACAGGTCGCGTTTGGGCATGCATCGGATATCAACGGGAGTGGGGCCGGCTTATGCTCCTTCATGTTCACTTCGCTCCAGCTCAACGATTGTCTCGTGCAAGTGCAGACCAAGACATCGAAGCCATTTCGAAATTTCCTCAAACCCATTGGAATTCTAGATATTACACAGCTCACAGCCGAGCTCTGGGAGTACCACTCACATTTCCCCCGTCTGCAACATGACCAAGGGCTGTATTCATCACTGTAGCCAGTCGCTCCATGGCCATCTCATCAATCTGATGATGCAGCACAACCCTCTTCCCGTCGAGCTTGATTCCGTTCCTTTTCCCGAGATCATTCCATTCCCTAACTTCTATGTTGCAGCTCTTGAGATCCACCCAGGCCATGTTGGTCTCGACAGGCTTTAGTAATCTCCCCCCTCTCTCCATCCACATCCTCCCAACCCTCTCTGCCAGAACACGACTGTTCCTCAAGACCCGTTTGGTATCTCTGTTTCCCAACCCAAAATTCTCAGCAACCGCTTGTCGCGCTGCCGCCGCGAGAACACCTGCCTGTCTCATGCCACCTCCAATACTCTTCCGGATTCGCTTCAGTCTGCGGATCAACTCGGATGGGCCCAACACCATGGCACCCATAGGAGCACCGAGGTTTTTGCTAAAATCGAGCGTCAAGACGTCACAGCACTTGCCAAAGTCGTCCAACGCGCCCGCACCTGCTGATACAGCCTCCCAGAGACGGGCTCCATCCATGTGGACGGCAACACCATGCATCGAAGCCCACGCTTTGATTCTCTGTAACTCCGCCAGGGGTATAACCACCCCGGAACTGGTATTCTCGATGCTGACGACCCGCGTGGGGCATTTGTGTACGTCATCCGTCAAGACAGCATGCTTCTTGATGTCCTCGAGTGTAAGGTAAAGACAATTCAGCGGACGAATCCCTTGAACCATCGCACCCGACAAGTGCGCTACGCCACCGGCCTCCCAATGTATGATGTGCGCGCTGGCGTCGGCGAGGACGGCATGCGGCGGCTGGTGCAGCAGTGAGCGCATGGCAAGCTGGTTCGCCATGGTACCCGATAGGACGAAAGCGGCGCTTTCATGGCCACACGTCTTGGCCATTTCCTCCTCGAAGTTTCTCGTTGTTGAATCCTCGCCGTAGACATCGTCATGGAGGGTCGTGCGAGCGATAGCCAAGAGCATGCCTTGGGATGGAGTCGTGACCACGTCGCCTACAGTGACAGCGTAAGAACCGGGTCAAATCCCCCCTCCCCGGCTGGACCACGGCTGGGACTTACTTCGGAAATCGAAGGCCGCGCCGGTTTGCGCGGGCGAGCCCCAGAGCACTGGGGTTTCCTCATCGCTCGGCATGGCTTTGGGCCTAGACTTGAAATGCTCTCGCAGACGTACGATTCTGGACGACAGATGCAACAACTGAACCAGGGGCTAGTCGACAAGTCGATACTGCATATCTCAAGTTCACATCACAGTTGAGATCGGCCTCCCTTCTTTGAGGGTCACACTAGGTAAATAAACTCCTCCATCATTCGCGATATCCGGCTCGGGCCGGGGTATTCATCACACCGCCGTCAGCACATAACACAGGCAGACTTACAATAATCTCAACACCGATCACCTCCCTCGTTCAGTGACCTATCAACTCGCCAACAAACACACCTTAGCTGAATAATCCTCCAGGAATACAGGGGGAGGCTTAGCTCCCGAAAAGGCTCAATTCGCGAGATAGATCTACCCAAAAAGGCGCTGTCACGCTAGCCTCCAGGCTCGGACTCGACTCTGGCCTGGTCCGTGTAGATCGCAAGAACGGCCAGGAGGTTGTGGCCCGATTGGACGGCAGACCCAGCGGCCAGCATCCTAAGTGCTTATGGCAGATGTAACCATCAAAGGTCTCACATGCAGCATGCAATCCTTTCAATAGCCTCCAAAAAGAATGGACAATGGGCAAGAGGCAAGAGGCGCGAGAAGGCTCGAGTCCAGTGCTGGTATCTCGATGGGTTGCCATACTCTAGATCCGAGGCGGTTTCTGTTTTCTAGGCGAGCTGGAAAGTTGGATTCTGGTTTAGGACGGTACATGCGAGTGAGACGCCTGTCTGGGGGTATCGTCAGTACCTAGCTGATGTAAAAGGCCCTCTCATATAATCCACGTAGGGCATTGATGTCCTTCTGCAAAATCCAGCATCTATATTCTTCTCTGATCGGCTTCTCGTGCTCGTTTAACTCTTCGTCGCTATCTGATGCCATCCGGGTCTCCTTTCGAACCGTCCACCGAGTACGATGGCCATCGTCGAGACCTCCAGCTCTGAAGAGCTCGTTGTCGAGAAGAGCAAGCTTGCCGTCCGGGAAACCGACGAATCCGCCATTCTCGCACACTACGGTGTTGAGAGACAAACCGATGGGCTCATCAATTGGAAACGAGACTGCAAGACGCATCCCCGGAATTGGACTCTCTCCAGAAAGGCGTTCGACACCGTGATCATCATCTTCTTTGAGTTCTACACGTAAGGCTGCCCGTTGTTATATAAATCGTAGTATAGCCCGAACTGACATCGGTCAGCACCGTCATAAGCACAACAGGAGTATGTCACGCCCAAATTTTACCCCGTCATAAACAGAAGCGGCCCGCAGATCGGCAGGACCCGACGGCGTAGCCATTTGCCTTGAGGCAGAATCCTCCGCTATGTTGTTAATTCTCTGCACTGGAGCGCGATGTTTTCATTTCCAAGAGCCAGCGGATTCGAAGCGGGATAGGAATCCAATTAGAGACATGCTAAACTTATTCCTGCACAGGCCGTGGCGGCTGCTGAAGC